ATATATACCTATATATACGTATAGACACATACAAATATATATACATGATGTATTATTATACAGTGTACATGTATATAATGGAACAATTGTGGTCCATCATTGAGTTTGAAGATGGCATGGAAATGATTCCCACTTCCTGGATAACGGAAAATAAAAGTGCGGCTCGTTGGCCACCTTTTACTTCACAACTAAAATTTAATAGAGCTGTACAAAAATGCATATCATATGAAAGTAATTGGCCCTTGCATAAAATAAAGAAGATATTAGGCAGTTCAAGTAAGTTACTTACAAAATCAACAAAGTAAAACTGTTACTTATATTAATTGGACATTTGTTATAAATTTTTATTAAATGTATTAAGCATTAATAAAATGCATTTTCGGTTCAGGTTCATATGAAAAAGGCTTCTTAAAATTAAAAAAAGCAGAAATGGCGTCGGATATTAATTCTGAAAATGACGATTATGAAAATTTTAAAAAGTCTCGAAAAGACAGAGCGAAAAAGGTGATATCAAGCAGTGAAGATAGCGATTCTAGTAAAGAAAATACGCAATTACCATGTTATCCTAAGATTCCGCAAACAAAAGGCAATGCATTTAACACCAAAGTAAAGACATTTGATAAATCTAAAACACAGTTTACAGGTACATATGAAACAAACTGTATATATTTTTATATAATGGGTGTAAAAGATCTAATTATTATTATACTGATTGAATTTATTATTATTACAGAAGAAGTTGTAACTACTTGCGAAGAAAATAAAAAGAAATCTGGAAATACAAATGTACGCGAAATTAAGACAAACAATGATAATGACGTCATTTATGGTAAATTTATTGATAATTTATAGTTAAAATTATATTTATATTTAAAAGACATTAATCGCCTAACTAACAGTAACATTACACCAAGTTATAATTTGCAGAATTGAAAACGTTATTTTATAAAAATATACGTAAACGCGTTACCGTTACTATACAAAACAAACCATGTATAAAATAACAATTGTTACCAAGAAAAAGTTACAATAATGGCGTTATAAGTAACGCGTTACTTCCCAATCTTAATAATTTCCCACGTAACTTTGTTAGTGTACAAATAATAAAAAACGCGTCAATATGCGATTAGGCTGGATTTTTTAATTTATCTCGGTGTTGTTAAATTGATTATGAATTCAATTATAATTTTAATTATGTATTATTCTAACTTTAGCATCAGATTGCATTTCAAGACCGGAAGTAACAGCGCATAGTCTGCTACAAAGAAATGGACATAAATTTATATGAAAAATATTAGGTAAAAGAATCAACCTGATTGTATGTTTGCCGTTTCTCTATTATTACTTATTTTTAAAAAACGGTCATGATTTATTTAATATATGATTTTAAATGCAATATAAGACATGTGTTATTCAACAGTCACATTGTTGGGAAATTATAAAATGGATGTAACGTTACTGACAGTTAGTGTTTACTGGGAATATTCTGTTTTCTTAAAAATGTATGATATATTTTCTAGCTACATGTAGTAAAGATATGAATTATCATGACAAGTCCAGCGTTGGACCTTACACAAGTAATATTGGTTCATGTAAGTATAAAACTGTTATTTAAATATTTATTTTACAATATTTTATATTTTAATTTATATTTTCCATTTTATAATTCTAGCACGCTCTGATTTTGAACGTTATGTTATAAGAAAACTAACAGACGTCGGATTTCAACTATCTTCATTGCAAGAACAAGGAAAAGTTTTGAATACCAGAATAGATATTATTTTACAAAATCTTCAAACATCTGTTTCTCACGAGATAGAAGACAAAACTACGGAGGAAGAGATAATGAATACTTTTCCTTTTGAGACTGTTAGGTATAAAATAGGCTACATGTAGCTCAGGGTTTGTCTCTGAGTGATCCGTCCCTGTCGACCCGTGTCGCTACCAGCCGCATCACGTGGCTGCCCCCGGCCCCCCACCCTTTACGCTATCAGACGCTCGTTGCGAGTAACAGAGGTAGGACGGAAAAATCCTAGCGAGAACGAACCTACCGGCTAAGTGGCAGTTACGCGGATTGTTGTACACGGGCAATCCGGAATTATATCGGTTTTAGGCAGTCTGTCGTTGACTATTAATAAAGTGAATTAAACTAAAAGACGCGTTTGTCTTGACCACGCCGTTCCCGAGAAGAAACTACACCGGAGAGCACTGCGTGGAAGGCGCCCAAGCCTTACAACTCTCTGTCGTTTGGAAAGAGAGGGAGAGAAATCTCCAACAAAGTTTTGGTCCTTCGAGCCGGATATCTCACTTGTCCGCATCTCGACGACAGCACCTATTACCCGAGCCGCATCGAGCCACATCGCCGCATCCATCTTACCAAAGGATCGGCGAATCTTCACCGGCCGTTACGAGAGGCAAGCCATTGTTCTCTCTCTCGCATCCAGCCGGCCATCTTGAATCCCGCTGTACCAGCAATACCGAGCCCAGGGAATCAGCCAAGGTGCCAGGAGGTTGTGCCAGCAGGCAGGCCTTCCCCGACGCATCCCTGCAGGACCGGCGAGGCAGCGCAAGGACTCATTTCCGAGGAACATCGGCAGCCGTCATCATTGCGATCATCGGCGCCCCCCCCCCTTCTTCTTCGTATACGACGCAGCGATCCGTGTCTCCTTCCGCGCGTACATTGCGTTCAGCGCCCGACACTCAGGTGAGGAAAACTAGTTCCATATTCGCCAACCGGAAAGCTTTCATAACCTCTAATCTCTGACCGAGATACCCATTCTCTGTTTCGACATGGACGACCCCGTTAGCATTAAAAAACGTCGTACAACCGTAAAGGCGGCGTGCACGCGCATAAAAACTTACGTGGAAAGCATTTCCTCACTGTCACCGTCAATAATCGCGCAGCTCGAGGAACGTAAAGCCAAATTAGATCAGCACTGGGCTGATTACAACGTTCATCAAGCACAGTTAGAAATGCTCGATGAGTCAGAAGCATCAGATAGAGTCGCGTTCGAAGACGCATTTTTCAATCTTTCGGCTAGAATACGCGAATTAATGCGTACCCCGTCTACCCCGCGTAGTGTGGCAACGGCGTCGCCGGCTTCGCTAAATACCTCTGAAACGCGGGATTCGTTTTCCAATGTCAGATTGCCGAAACTCGATCTTCCCAAATTTTCGGGAAAGTATGATGAGTGGTTTCTCTTTCACGACACATTTTATTCACTCATACACATGAACGCGTCTCTTAGCAACATTTACAAATTACAATACTTGAGAGCCGCGCTTACTGACGACGCAAGTAGGGTAATTAGTTCTCTCGAGATATCCGAAGCAAATTACGCGGTCGCGTGGCAGCTCTTAAACGACCGATACGATAACAAACGCGTCATAGTGCAAACGCATCTCAGATCAATTACAGAGTTGCCAGTCATGGCAAAAGAAAACGCGGCAGAGTTGCGACAAATCGCGGATGGCTCCTTGCGCCACATCAATGCATTAAAGGCTTTGAAACGTCCGACGGATTCTTGGGACGATCTTTTAGTTTACCTTCTCAGTTCCAAGCTCGACGCAACCACAGCGCGAGAATGGCAATTGTCGCTCACGGGCTCTGAATTGCCCACCTTAAAACAGTTTCACGATTTCCTAGCCCATCGTTGTCAAGTTCTCGAATCTACTAGTAAGTCACCCTGCGCTTCTACAAAGAATACTATTTCGCGATCTCATGCGCCGAACAAGCACAAGGCATCGTGTAACACATCCGTTAACTCGAAGTGTGATTATTGTAAGGGCGAACACGCTATTTACCAATGCAAACAATTTTTAGCTCTCCCGATTGCCAAACGGATATCGGAGATGCGCTCACGCAAGCTCTGTTTAAATTGCTTGCGTTCATCGACCCATCTCGCAAGCAAATGCCCATCAGGGACTTGCAAGACCTGCTCTCGCAAGCACAATACATTGCTGCACCTTCCGCAGTCTTCGGATCAATGCAACGCCAGTAATAGTACAAAAGAGGAAGCTAGCTCGCTAGAGTCGACCGATACGGTCGCGCCAAATGCTGTGGTCACTCACGCCTCGAATACGATCGGTAGCGAAGGCGTGCTTCTTTCAACTGCCGTCGCACTCGCTAAAGGCAAGGACGGCTCGCTACAATCCTGCCGCGTACTATTGGATTCCGGATCTCAGGCTAATTTTATTTCCCGAGATTCCTTAAATACTTTAGGTCTAACCCCTCGGTCGGTGGACATTGCGATATCAGGCATAAATAACACGGCCACGCGCTCGACACAAGCAGTTCAACTAAGGTTACATTCGCGATTAAATCCCTATTCGACGGTTATCGACTGCATTGTAACCGACTGCGTAACGGATGATCTTCCCGCGTTTAACATGAAGCGCACAGCCTTTGAATTACCGCGAAACATTGAGCTAGCCGATCCTAAGTTTCATATCTCTTCCAAAATCGATATATTGATCGGAGCGGACACTTTCTGGAATCTCATGTGCACAGGGCAAATCAAGCCCTCTGATAAGCATCCACTGTTACAGAAAACAAGATTTGGCTGGATTTTAGCTGGTCGACTAAACCGTTCCGTGACGCGTCCGCGAATGATGCAAGCTTTTCACGTCTCGGTCAGTAACACCGAATTGCACAATCAACTAAATAAGTTTTGGCAGTTAGACGACATTCATGGTAACTCAGGTAGTTACACTCTCGAAGAGAGCCTTTGCGAGAAACATTTCTTAGAGAACGTGTCTAGGAATAATCAGGGCAGGTACATAGTCAAATTGCCTCTCAAGGAAAACTTAATAAACGACCTCGGCGATTCAAGAAATATCGCGTTAAACCGTTTGCGTGGATTAGAAAGGCGTTTTAGTCGAGATCCCGATCTGAAAGAACGATACACGCAGTTCATTGACGAGTACATTGCATTGGGGCACATGAAGCCGATCATAGAACAATCCTCAAATCAATCCGGGGTTTATTACCTGCCGCATCATTGCGTTCTAAAGGAGTCCGCCAAGGGCACTAAGCTTCGCGTCGTTTTCGACGGATCGTGCAAAACCGATACCGGGTTGTCATTAAATGATTCTATGATGATAGGACCGGTGGTTCAAGAGGATCTCACCTCTATACTCACGCGCTTTCGTACTTTCAAATACGTGTTGGTGGCTGATATAATTAAGATGTATCGCCAAATCTCGCTACATCCTTCACAGACACAATTACAAAGGATTCTTTGGCGTGGTGACGCCAATTCAGACTTCAGAGCTTACGAATTAACCACCGTCACTTACGGGACATCAGCAGCTTCTTACCTAGCCACGAGATGTCTTACACATTTAGCAGACCAATACTCAGATACCTTCCCCGTAGGCTCATTGCATGTCAAGCGTGATTTCTATGTTGACGATCTGCTCACCGGAGCTGATTCAATGTCAGAAGCGACAGTCATCCGCGATCAAGTAATACAACTATTAGAGTTAGGTTCCTTCCAGCTCAGCAAGTGGGGATCCAATTGTCCCGAACTGTTGACGGGCGTGAGTGATCAGAGCGAGGGTCTTGTATATTTTGATAAGGATTCCGATTTTCGCATTTTGGGTATCCTCTGGGATCGAGACAACGACACATTTCATTTTTCCCATAAGCCTAGCCAAGTACCTGACGTCGTGACTAAGCGTTCGATATTATCTGAAATCTCAGGTTTATTTGACCCATTAGGGCTGCTTGGACCGGTCATCGTGATCGCAAAATTGATTCTCCAAGAGTTATGGCAATCGGGGGTGGACTGGGATGAATCTATCCCACAGGATGTTCATACAAAGTGGCTGCAGCTCAAATTACAGTTCCCAAGTTTGAATCAACTACAGATTCCTCGTTGCGTCGGCATTCTCTCTGATCCGAGCCTCTCCCAAATTCATGGCTTTTGCGATGCCAGTCAACGCGCTTACGGCGCATGCGTCTACCTTCGCACTAAAGTCGGCAATCAAGACTATCAATCAAACCTACTTTCTTCTAAATCTCGCGTCGCGCCACTCAAGGCAGTATCATTACCGCGACTCGAATTGTCTGCAGCACTTTTGTTATCGCAGCTAATCGACAAAATTGGATCATCACTCGATTTGACAAACACAGAAATCATCTTATGGTCAGATTCTACCATAACTCTAAATTGGATAGCGTCTCCGTCGCGCAAATGGTCGGTATTCGTAGCAAACCGCGTCGGAGAAATACAACGCTTGACTAACATAAGCAATTGGCGCCACGTTGCTTCTGGCGACAATCCGGCAGACATATTATCGCGAGGATTACTTCCTGACGACTTGATAAGCTCACCGATGTGGTGGCACGGTCCACCGTTTTTACAACTGCCCGAGGCCCAATGGCCAAGCGGCGTATACAACTCTTTGGTAGGCGAGGTTCCTGAACAAAGAAGGATTTGTGCATCCGCTACATCTTTCGATTGCAGCGTCATTGATGACTTACTCGACAGAGTCTCCAATCTTGACAAGATATGTCGGATTGTAGCCTATGTATTCAGGCTCTCGACGCCTCGTCAGTCTAATCCCAAAAGCAAGGTGGTTTCCCCGAAGGAGCTTCTAAACTCTTTAAACGTAGTATGCAAGGCTGTTCAAAGGCAAGTTTTTTCAAGCGAATACGTTTTGTTGTGCAAGCATGCCGAGATTAATAAATCTAGCAATTTGCTCTCGCTCGCTCCATTCATGGGCGAAGACGGCTTGATCAGAGTCGGAGGGAGACTGAAAGCTTCCGCATTATCATTCGACGCGTGTCATCAAATAGTTTTACCTCGCAATCATATCCTAACGAAGCGCATAATAGAGCTCGAGCATCTTCGCAACATGCATTCCGGCTTGCAAGCCACCATGGCTGCAGTCAGGCAGAGGTTTTGGCCGCTTTCGCTGAGATCAGCCACTCGTAAGGTCATAAACAACTGTTTGCAATGCTTTAAGGCAAGGCCAGTTTTTTCCGAAGCGCAAATGGGTTCGTTGCCCGCGTCCAGGATCAGAATCTCGCGGCCATTCTCACACTGTGGAGTTGATTATGCCGGGCCTGTCACATTGCGGGAGGGTAAGCGTCGCAACTCGCGAAATCACAAGGCATATATATCGGTTTTCGTGTGTTTCGCCACCAAGGCTATACACTTGGAACTCGTGAGCGATCTCACAACTGATGCGTTTATCGCGGCTCTCAAAAGATTGATATCGCGCCGTGGCAAGCCCCAGCAAATGTATTCCGACAATGCGACTACATTTGTTGGAGCACAAAGACAAATCAAAGAATTTTATGACTTTCTTAAAACCGAGCAGGCACAGACTTCTATAGAGCATTTCTTGCGAGACCAACAAACTACGTGGAGTTTCATTCCTCCCAATGCTCCTCACTTTGGGGGCCTCTGGGAGGCGGCGGTTAAATCTGCCAAGTACCATCTTACCCGTATCGTGGGCTCGGCTAACCTGACATTTGAGGAAATGCAAACCGTCCTATGCGAAATTGAGGCTATATTGAACTCGAGGCCTCTCATTCCGTTGAGTTCCGATCCAAACGATTTGAGTTACTTAAGCCCCGGGCATTTTCTGGTTGGCGCCCCATTGAACAGTTTTCCTACCCCAGATTTATGTGATGTAAACGCGAACTCATTGTTGCGATGGCAATTAATTGAACAAATGCGACAGCACTTTTCACGCAGATGGAGCGACGAATACCTTAACTCCCTACAGGAGAGACACAAGTGGAAGACGTCCAAGGGCCAGCAACTAAGGCCCGACCAGTTAGTCTTAATAAAACAGCAAGGCCTAGCGCCTCTTCAGTGGATAACTGGTCGAGTGGAGGGCGTGCATCTAGGATCCGATGGCTTGGCTCGCTCCGCCACAGTCAAAACAGCCAAAGGGTCTTATGTCAGGCCGCTTTCAAAGTTAGCTATATTACCTATGTAATACTCGTACCTGAATTACCACACATATATATCCGCTCAAGTTACTGTAACTATGTGCAATGTTTCTTATGTCATTGTTTATTCGTTATGTTTGCACGATATAAGTGTTTAAGTTAAGTTCGTTTCTATTCCAGCGAAGTCCAAATATACTATCTAAGTTAAGTTACTCTTGTATAATCATCCGATTTAGCCTAAGCGTTTCATTTTTTATTGTATTCCTGCGTTGCGTTCATCTTAATTGTGGCTACAAGCCTTCTTGTTTCTTATCTATAATTGTTGAAGGGCAACCCTTCAAGGCGGGCGGCGTGTTAGGTATAAAATAGGCTACATGTAGCTCAGGGTTTGTCTCTGAGTGATCCGTCCCTGTCGACCCGTGTCGCTACCAGCCGCATCACGTGGCTGCCCCCGGCCCCCCACCCTTTACGCTATCAGACGCTCGTTGCGAGTAACAGAGGTAGGACGGAAAAATCCTAGCGAGAACGAACCTACCGGCTAAGTGGCAGTTACGCGGATTGTTGTACACGGGCAATCCGGAATTATATCGGTTTTAGGCAGTCTGTCGTTGACTATTAATAAAGTGAATTAAACTAAAAGACGCGTTTGTCTTGACCACGCCGTTCCCGAGAAGAAACTACACCGGAGAGCACTGCGTGGAAGGCGCCCAAGCCTTACAACTCTCTGTCGTTTGGAAAGAGAGGGAGAGAAATCTCCAACAGAGACTATGGAAGATTTAGATGCTTTCGAAAAATTGTTAATTGAGAGTAAAATAAATCGCAAAAAATTGGTAAGTATTGTAAAAATTGGAATCATTTCTGCATGCGTTTGTGTGGTGCGTACACGCACGAATATATTATACTTATCATTTGTATGTATTATATACTCACATTTTCTTACAGATTAACGAATTATTGCGTGTTGGTGGAAATGATATAAAAAAAATGGTATTTAATCTTCTCCGAACTTTAATTTCTGATAAATTAGCGTGTATGTTTAATTATATTGGAGGGAAGAAAAAGCGAATATTTTATGATTTAGAGCTACGGAAAGTTATATTAAGTAACTATAATAATATATTGTTATTTTTAATTATAATATTAATTTATAAATAAAATTAATGTCTTACTTTTCTTATAGGTGTTGTACGAACTAATTTTACACACGCAACAGAACAAACTGTCAGTGAACCAATTAAATCGTGGTTACGACATGCAAATGAACGTTGCCAAAACAAAACAAAGTAAATTTTTACAAGATTTTTTAATTGCAGAATTGAATCTTTTATATTATATATATATCGATTAAATCAATATTATCTGCATTAATTTTTATATATTTCTTTGTTACAGAAACAATATAGATAAACAAATTTCACAAGAACAGATTAATAATTATGAAGCGCGCCCATGCCAAGCTCCTGCAGACATGTAACAATCCTGAGCCGGCACAACCGTCACTTGTAGGCTTCACTGGCCGAGCGGAAAAGCAAAGGGAGAAAAGTTAGGCGTAGCTTTTGAAAATCGCCTTAATAGTACAAATAATTCCGACGAAAGAAAAACATACCAAAGAAAAGTATAAATTCGTTCGTAAGCAAATGAGTTAATTTTTTTACATGTTTTATGTTTTATTAAGCCGTTTTAATATGAAAGTTTTTTTCTATTTTATTCGTTACATTAAACGTTTTATAAAAATAAAGAATGTGATAATGCGTGCAATTAATAACTTGATTATATTTGTAAATTAAATTGCACACGTTGCGCATATAGTGCGATATTTTGTGGCTGTATGATCGAAGAAAGTTTTTTGAGACAAATTATCTTATCGACAATGATCACAATGGCGTTAAAAAATTATTTTTGTCAGAAAAACAATCTTATTTGTAGAGTTAGTCCAAAAACTTTGGGGAAAAAGTTCCTTGTAAGCTGGCCGTAAAGTTTACTTGAAATATTTCTATTAATAAAATCTTAAACTATTGTGCGAAATTGCTTTAAAGAAACCAATGATATTTCGTACTATTTGTATACTTGGGGAAAAATGTTTAATCGTGATCATTCTTTAATCCGGTTTTCTCAAGTCTTGATTATAAATAATTATGAAATTGCTTTATGATAATGGTAACTTGATAATATTGGTCGTTATGAAATAGCTGGCTTGTATCCGTATATTGGAAAAAAATGGCAACAAACGTGCATAAAAGTACTTTCTCGTCAAAGTGTGTAAAAATTTATTGTATCTAATTGCATTTGTCGACAATAGGAATATTGTAAGGTATGTAGTACAAAGCAAATGTAATAAAAAAATTTTATTCTTTTCTTTTGTTTTGCCTTTTTGGAGTGTAAGCAGATGAAGTTTGTTGAATCCTCGGCACGAAGTTTATTTAAACATAATTTTATTAGGATATAAGTGTGAAATAAATAAAAACCAGTTTATTAAAAAATGTTTGTATTACATTATACCCAAATAGCACAAGGACGACCTTAGGACGTCCTCAGGACGTCCAGGACGGACTTCGCGGATATCCTGAGGACGTCCTGAGGGCATCCCGGGACTTCCTCAGGACATCCTGAGGAATAGCAAACGAGCGCCACTTTTTAGTCCTTAGGACATCCTGAGGATGTTCCGCCGGATGTCCTGAGGATATCCGGCAGATGTCCTCAGGACATCCGGCAGATGTCCTCAGGACATCCGGC